CTCTTGGCTCAGCACTGGCGCTGGCTGTGGCAGGTTGGGCCTCCGTTAGGCTGGAAGACCTGGTGGCCTTGGCAGGGAGGAGAAAGAGAGGCCCAGAAGAGCTCCTCCCCTCCGCTGTGGCCTTGGCGATGTCGGCCTGCTAAGCACGGATCCAGTGGCGACTGGGAGACACGGGGGAGCCTTTGAATCAGGTCTCTTGTTCACTCCATTAGCCGGGCTACTTATAATACCAGAGCCTCTCATGAGATTTAGTGGAACAGAATTAACTTCACATTGTTATGACTGTTAAAAGAGGTCTCTCCTTATATAGCTTTCCAAATAAGAGGAGTGGTCAAAATATATGGCGAACGCTTAAATTTAAATGGTTTATTATGGTAAAAGGTGCATCGCCGCCTTCCTCAAAGCTCTGTCTTTCATTCCAAACATACTTATCCCATCCTTCTTTACAAATGAATGTCTTTGTGAGACTTGATAGAAAATGTGGTGAGTGCTGCTACCCAGTGTCCTCCGCTGGACAGGCAGCTTGTGAAAGCATGGCACCAGGTCCTCAGACACCTTGGTCACCAGATCTGGCACTGTGCAACTTTTGGCTCTTACCCCAAATAAAAATGACCCTGACTCGATGTAGGATATGGAGGCGGCCAGGACAGTGAGACTGAAGACTCTCAGTAAAGAGGACTCCAGAGCTGCTGCAGGAAGTGGTGAGAGATAGGACAAGTGTGGTTGAAGTGAGGGGAAAAATGTGCCTTTTATTGTAATAACTTCTGTTAAGTTTAAGCACTCGCCAGGTACCTCGTATCTTTGCTCCTAGTTTTCTGACTTTGTCATTTGAAAGTCTGGCCTGCCCTGAATGAATGTTGCTCTGAACCCCAGGCATTTCTTCCGCAGGTAGTGAGAAGTCAGACGTTCCACTCGAAGCTCTGCTCCCTCAGAGGATTTCCCATGAGCTCTGTATGTTAGGCTCTTGTGAGTAAGCTTGCTTAGTCAGGAGAGCACGCTTAGATGTCTGTGCACGATTAAATGGCTTTGTGAAGTTACCACATAACTTTAGTGCTGGAGGGAAAAAGAGTAAGCATCAGGAGTAGACACCGTGAGGCTCTGGATCACCTGCTGTCATGGTCACGCTGCATCCAGGCCGGGGTGGAGCTGTCCCTAGACATCTGGTGGAAACAGCACGAACGTTAGTTTCAGGGTCTGCTAGTGGAGAGTACCCATCCACCGTGGGCACAGTGCCACCTCACTCAGTGCTCCTCGGGCTGGATCCATGTCTGCACGGACTGTGACAAAACCAGGAGCTGCTCCTGAGAGAAGACAATCGAGGATGCAATTTCAGCATGGTCTCCTCAGATCAGGGCTGCCTGGAGGCTCCTGGGCCCATCTCTGACAGCCACGCTCCCCCTGCCCATCATCGGGTGGGCTCTGGGAACCCGAGGCAGGATGGATCGCAGAGTGTAATGAAATTCCCTTTCCTCAGTGCTCTGGACTTAGGAAAGCCCCAACTGAAGCATCTAATTGCAGGCACTCAGTGCCAGTGGCTGCACCAACTGAGTCCAGGTGGGAAGAAGACGGCATCCTGAAGTCAGGACTCTTGCAGCAGGGTTTGCATGAAGTGCAAGGTTTGGGGAGGAAGAGAACCATGGTGAGCCATGCACCAGCGTCTCATGATGCAGAGGATTGGGTGGGAGAGGAAGCACTTACTGGGACTTGAGCAGATGGGGGCTACGACCTGTACCTGTGGCCACATTCGGCCCAAAGGATGGGATGCCTGTTTTCCCTACCTCAGCTGAGGCTCCCTGGGATCAGCCTTAAGTGGGGACCAGGAAATGGGTAGACCAAGGTGGCCAGTCAGGAGAGCCCTGGACAGAGGTTAGAGAGGGATGGAGTGTCATCTCAGAAGAGGGCAGTGTTGTGCTATGTGTCACAGGCCTGCCCTTTCATTTCATGCCCCACTCTGGACTGTGAACTCCACAGGGCTGGGGCCTCCTTGACATCCTGACCATGGGGCCATGGTTTCTGCCTCCTGTAAGATAGACGCCCAGTGGAGGATGAAGTGGTCCAGCATCTCTGAAGATGCTCTCGCGAGGATGCTGTGAAGTTAAGAGACAATGAGGAAGCTCGCGGTGGACGTACTTTGTAAATGCGAGGAGCCATGTGTGTAAGATTTCATTTCACACCCTTTGGATTTGTTTCCTCCAAGACCCAGTCAACTCTGATTCATTAGAACTTAGGAAGTCAGCAATGACGCTGCTTACAGTGGGTTTTGCTTTCTGGCTAATGAATCTCCTGGCTCTCCTCCAGCTTTAGTGGCGAGATTTCGAGAACATCATCACACCCAAACTCACGCACCGTGTTAGAATTTTTTGTCTTTTCCATTTGACAAGTTTCTGTGCCCATCCAGTTTTTGCAGAGCTTTCTGGTAGCTGGGACCGCTTAGTGCTCAGCTTTGGAGGACAGCCTTACCTTCGCTCTGGGCGCATCTGCCCCCTCGTGGCCGAGGAGGGGATAGCCGCAGGTTTATAGAAAAATCAAAACGGGAACTCACAAGCCCAAAGCATAGCAGCAAGCAGCGATAAAAAAGAACAGGAAGGAGAGTAAGGTACTCACTGAGTTAATGAAAGGCACTTGAATTTAGCAGGTTTGTTTTGCTCATTGACTTAGTTCCAGGTGAATTGTGACTTTTTGCAAATGTTTCCCTAGTTTGGTTTGTTTCATTTTAAAAACATTTTTATGAGTACAGGTTTACAGTACATAATTATTACAGTCATTGGGGGAGTTGGTACATGCACATGACATATCTTGGTTCCTTTTATATCCTTTTCCAAAACTATAATAATATACGACTTTAACCTTCTCAACAGCACGATTTTGGACCTAAGCTCATGGAATTTATATGGGGCATAGCTAAAAACTCAGTGCAACCTCAATTTAGAGATCAGGTGGATGCTATGCCTGATGCATTAATTTAATGTCTTTTGCAGCATTCGGGGTGTTTGTTTGTAGACTACATGACATGAGGTGGTCGATTTGGCTTTGCAAACTTCCCCCTACAAGTAAATGAGGAAATTGTAAATATTGTATGTGATTTCCTAAGCCAAGTTAGAAGGTGGAAACAGTCTCTTAATCCATATGGTCTTTGGGGTACTTTGGCCACTCGATCTACATGAAGCCCAGGTCCCTTTCTCCACAGCTTTGCCCACAACATCTCATTCCTCCTTCTGTGGTCATTGGCTTCTGCCACCTGTCACCTTGGCCACCTCCTGGTCCCATACCGATCAGAGCCACTTACTATGCTGATGTTTAAGACACAGCCGGTGAGAGCAAAGACTGCATGTAAAGGATCGAAGTCTTTATGCAGCTGAGATGTACCTTGGAAAATACAGGAGATCAGAGACTCATGATAGCACTGCTTTGAGTATTTGGAAGAGTTTTTTAGAGGAGAAGAATTTTCCCCGGTGCAGACCCTGTTAAAAATAAGGACCCCCATAAGTCTGGAGTATAAAACATTGTTACCTTAAAGCCCACTTATCTCCCTTGTATCACTGAGTAAATTCACTGCCTTTCTGTGCTTTAATTTTTCAGCTCTAAATTGGCTAGAACAATACCAGTTGCTCTCACCTCATAGACCTGCTCTAAATGAACCTGAAGTACTCAGAGCAGAGCTTACCCCCTGGGCAGTACTTACGCCTCGCTGTTACTGTGTCCCCCACAACTGCAACAACAACAGCGACAACGGTGCCAATGATGATGACCACCTTGGCCCTATTCTTCTGTGTTAAAGGACACATTGACCCCAAGTGATTCGGGCCGCATCTGCAAACAGAAAACATATACTATTAAAAAAAAGAAAAATTGTAGACAAAACCCCTCAAGGCGCAGACTTGCCACCTGCGAAAGTAGAAAGATGTGTTACAGGATCTAAAGTCAGTCCTCGAAGTGTGGGCCCCTCAGTTTTGAGCAAGGTTAGAGCAGGTAAACGTAAACACCTGTAATGTTAACCTGGAGGAAGCACCTTTCGGTTGGCTGTATGCGGCACTTTTTAGGAACGCCAGCCATAAGCCTGATGTCTCGGTTCTCCGGCGTGGATACGGATCTTAAAGACAGGCCCTGGGCCGCCCTGTGGGTGCTCGGTAAACATGTTGATTAGGAATGAAATGTTCTCCAGTTAATTACAAACTGCTTGCCTACTTAAAAATGAATTCGTGTGTCATAGCCCTTCCCTGCAAACTTCTGGCAAATGCTTTAGCTGGCATGTAGCATTTGATTTGGTACAATTCTGTCTATTTATGGAACTTGAAATTCCCACAAAGGGTCTGTCAGAGGATTTTCTCTTTTGACTATGATTTCAAAGTGGAAAGAGGTGCTAATGTCAAGGCAAGCCTGTTCCAAGCACTTTGTGGCGTTTGTGCAGAGAAGGCAATGTAGAGGTGGTGAGGACCCGGTGCTGAGGATGGGGCGGGAGCGCTGTAGCTGCCGGGGAGCAAGTTGCCTTCTTTTCTTTCACAGTTGAAGAAACTGACTGTGATGATTTGTTTAGAGTCACACAGGGCCAGAGGAGGAGTTGGAATAAGTGTTCCTTGATGTCAGCCTGCTTTGATTGTGGCTTTCACATTTTAATCGCAAGATGGAGAAAACTTTAAATGTACTCTTTGGATCTCTTTCTTTAATGTATGTGCATAAGTCAAATTCTTCTGTGTTACATGGCAGGAAGGTGGGTCTAAGAATTTGTTTGTATCTGAGAAAAGGTTTGGTTTTGGGGGTGACTGAGGTGAAATGTGTCTAAGTGGCTTGATCAAGGTGTGCCTTTGCCCTACCCTGACTTTTGCTTTCTCTGTTATGTATTAGCAGGGCTTCCCGTACCCATGAAAGACTTTCAGCGGGAGAGTTTGTCTCTCAGACACGGGCCATCTCCTGCTTCTCTGTACCCCTCACGCTCACCCTCACCCTCACCCTAGCCCAGGAAATGTGGGTCACGTGTTGCTCGCTTTTCTGCTGTTCTCCAGGAGAGCAAACGGGAGTCCAGTGCGAGTGGCTGCCTGAAAGGGCCCAAGCTGTCGGAAATCGGCACAATCGCCTGGATGATCACGCTCTGCGATGCCCTCCACAACTTCATCGACGGCCTGGCCATCGGGGCGTCGTGCACACTGTCGCTCCTGCAGGGCCTCAGCACGTCCATAGCCATCTTGTGTGAGGAGTTTCCCCATGAGCTAGGTAGGAGCGGCTCTCAGGGGACCCCGTGCACACCCCGAGCCTGTGGGGCGGGGCTGACCATCTCTGGCCTCATCCCCTCCGGAGGACAAACCCGACTCGTGGCGATTCCTTCTTCCAGGGGATTTCGTGATCCTGCTGAACGCGGGCATGAGCACGCGGCAGGCCTTGCTGTTCAACTTCCTCTCCGCCTGCTCCTGCTACGTGGGGCTGGCTTTTGGCATCCTGGTGGGCAACAATTTTGCCCCGAACATCATATTTGCGCTGGCTGGGGGCATGTTCCTCTACATTTCCCTGGCGGATATGGTAAGACATGGAGGCATTTTGTTTTGTCTTAGTTAAAAACTTAGGCAAGCTACTTCCCCATGTGTGGGCCTTGCCTTGAGACTTGGACAGTCCTGCGTCAGCCCAATCTCCTTGAGCCCAGCACTCTGTGAGTCTACAGTGGGTCTTCTTGACTTTAAAAAAAATGTGATCTCATTGCTAGAAGGTGAAATGATTTGCTTTTGCTGAAGCAGGGATGTTTTCCTAGGCTCATGGTGCCTCTGGAAAGTGAGACTTGTTTTCTATCATAGTCTGTCTTTACACAGTGGACCCTTGTGTTACAACCAGCCTGACATATGAACAACTTGGGTTATGACTAGATTTTTTTTTTTTTTTGTGATACTGGGTATCAAACTCAGGACTTTGCACTTGCGAAACAGGCATGGTGCCACTGACCTAAATCCCCGGCCCCGGAGTTTTAGTTCTAACTTATGAACAAAGTCTTGAGTTGTGACCCGAATGCCTGCTACCTGTACTTCCAGATGGTCTCAGATACAGACTGAGCCCTTACAGGGTTCTGTAGCATCCTGCCCCATGCAGGGTTAACTGAGAAATCCTGGCCAGTGTCTCTCTAAGGACACCGAGATCTGCCTGTGTAGAGGAGAGACTTTGAAGGCTGTGGAGAGGAGCCTGAGCCAACATTGACCAACTTGAATTACAACTGCCCTGGGGAAAGAATTGAGTTCATAAGTCAGGCGCCCACTGTAGAACTTGTTCCCTCTCTTTTGTGCAAGCGTCACATCTGGACTTGTTAGAGTACATAGCATTTTGTTATTTCAAGGCTATAAACAGTGAAAGCCTTTTGGATTACTCTAAGGCTAGCCCACTAAAGTTGGTAAGATTAACATTTGACAGTTCTTGTTAGGTTCAGTAAGCATTTGCATGTCTGTCTCTGTAGCATGTGTGTCTTTATTAATGTCTGTATATGTGTGTGTGTATGTGTGTGTGCCCACGTGAGCGAGTGTGTTCCAGAGGGAAATGGCCTGTGTGTTTGTGAGTAGGTCACGGACAGCTTTGTAGAAAGTAAAAATATGCTACTGTCTGAAAATCAAACAACATTACTTTCTCACTTAGAACTGAAGATATTAAACATATAATTTAATAATTCAATTTTTAAAAATTTGTAGCTTTCACAAACTATATTTTAAAATATCGATATTATTTGTTTTAAAATGAAAAAAAAATGAGCCAGGAGTTACAAACCCTTCATAGGGCCAGGGATTTACCTCAGTGATTCCACTGCCTGCCTCACAAGTGCAACGTCCTGAGTTTGATCCCCGATGACAACAACAACAACAACAACAACAAAACACCACCACCACCACCAGCAGCCAGATTACAAATCCTTTAGAACAAGATCATCTTAAATTTCTCCAAGTTTGAGCTGAAAAATACTCCTATGTTTAAAGATTAGTAGACACTTAAAAAAAAAGATGTCAATATTGAATTGGCCAGCACTAATTAAAAAGATAAATAAAATTAAAGCCAAAATTCATTTATGATAAGCAAAAAAAAAAAAAAGACTGCAACATTGAGTCATAACAGGATGACGAAGGTAGTAGCAAAAGGAAATGGGCCAAAGAACTGAAGAAGGAAAAGAAGAAGTAGAAAGTAGCTCAAGATGTGACTGTCTAGTTCTGTGCCCTGCTCTGCGCAGGTTGCTGAACACCTAGGACTTCCTCTCCTGAAGCACCACAGCTTTGAGCTACGACTTCACCAAATCCAGGCCTCACACTGGATTCTCTCCAGCTGGCCACTTCTCCTTTTTCTGATAGAGCAGAGCCCATCGGAGCTGTTCAGTTTAAGGAAACAGTGCTCACAAAGGATGCTGTGTACACCTACGGTGCTTCTTCCTGCGTGGTTTCATGGCCCTGCCCACTTTATCCTGGCAGGAATTTTTTTTTTCCTCACTGAGTTTATTGGTACATTTTAGGTATGCAGTACAGTTACATTCATCATTGGGATCGTGTACCTTTACATGACAGGTCTTGGTTCTCATTTTTCCCCTTGTCCCTGCCCTCCCTTCACCCCCTCCTTCCCTCCCCATTTACAAACACTCTATTTCCATTGTTTCATTTTCTCATATTTTTTTCTTTTCCCTTATTACCTTTCTCCTACCCTTCCCACTTTCCTCACACCTTTAGCCCTTTTCTTCCTATTTCACATTGTCATTATATCATTAGGATCTTCTGTACTATTATAGTTTTTCATACCAGAGAAACTCTGGCAGGAATTTTCTTAAGCCAGGCTCGTGGGTCAGCTGGACCCTTGACACCTTGAAGGTGCCTGACGTACGTAGCCAATCACTTTGCAACATGCCTTGTGAGGTCAGTGTGTCCTTGGCTCCTCTGTAGCCTGGTCAGTACCCATGTCTGAGAGAGGGCAGGTTTTAGATGAAAAGCCTAGAGTTTCAGGTCTTTTCACTGTAATGATATTATAGTCATTGACCCTAGAATAATGCACAATTTATTTTAAAACCTTATGATTTTTGTGATGGTAGAGCAAGAAGAAGAAAACAAATTGAAGAAAAAGAAATTAAATGTAGAGTTGTTTCAGGCTTGAAGTCCGGTCAGGCACTGAGGACCTAGGGTGATTCCCTCATTCCGGTCTCTGCAGTCTGGCAGGGATGAAATGTGAGGCACAGACATCGTGCAGACCTGAGAATTACAAACGGTTCTAAAATGCTATGAAAAGGAAGAGCAGCTTCTGCGATGAGGGGATACCAAGAAAATCTAGCCTGAGTTGGGAAGGGCTAAAGGGAAATGTTTCAGGAAGGTGAGATTCAAGGTGAGATCTGAAGGGTCTGGTCTCCTGAAGACCTGGGAGCAGAAGAGTCCAGGCTGAGGTTGTAGTGAGTTCAGGCTGAGGTGTGGATACTGAGGAAGGAGCGAGGCTGGGTGCTGGGATACTGAAAGGATGGTATGGATGGAACACACACACGCACACACACACACACAGGTTAGACTGGGCTCCACCCATCCTGCTGGGGGGGTGGGCGTGAGCCACGTGCACCCCTTCAGTCCCTTGAAAGTGCTGGGTGTCTCAGCTTGTCAGCATTCGAACACCTGAAGTCAACGGCCCTCTCCCCGACGGCGGTTGGCAGTGTCTGTTTTGTGTTTTGCCACCAGATGGCGAGAGTTGTCTAACAATGCATCTTGTTCCAGTTCCCCGAGATGAACGACATGCTGAGGGAGAAGGTGACAGGGAGGAAGACAGATTTCACCTTCTTCCTGATCCAGAACGCAGGGATGCTGACGGGATTCGCGGCCATCCTGCTCATCACCTTGTACGCGGGGGACATCGAGCTGGAGTGACGGGCCGTGGGCAGCCCGGTCCTGAGTGAAGGCATTTCACAAGCGAAAACATCTCCAGAGGGATTTTTAGGCTTACTTAGTTAGAAGATGCTTACGATTTTAAGTGTAGGTCAAGAAAACTGATTATTGGCTTCAGATCCGTGAAAGTGACTGTTATTTGTTGTTAAAATGTTTTGAAAGGTGTTGAGTTCCGGTCTGAAATGCCTGGGGTATGAGGTTTCTGGGAAATGCCCAGTTTCCCACGTCTCATTCATGTTAGGATATCGCCAGGAAGCCAGACACATGCATTTTATAGTCATGTTGACATCGAGACCCCAGGGGAAATTCAAGATAGGTTATTCGCGGCTTTAAAACTCAGTAAGGTCAGTTTCAAGCGGTTTCAGTGGTTTTCTTTCAGTTAATTTGTTCTAGTGCTTCAAGAGCAGGTACAAAAACAATGTGGAAGAGAAGCAAAACACAACACAGATATAAATGATTCCATGGCGCCTGTGAACCCAAGGAAGAAAGATGGTGCACAGCCTGGGTTCTGATTTAGATGTCCATCAGGAACCTGTAACACTGTGTTAGAAGCCTTCCAAAATAATTCAAACTAAGGAATCAATAAAGACTCGGTAGCCCTTTAGGTTTGGGCTCACAGGGTCACCTGTAAGTCGGCCCCACCAGACTCCAGCAAAGGCTAGTGCTGCCAGGGTACAGGCCCCCAGCCTGCAGTGGGTCCACCTTGGCACAGTGAGGAGTGGGAGAGAGGCCACTTTCGGGGACTGGGATCTGCTCTGTGACGGGGAAGAATATGTTGGCTTGGAGGAAGAAACTGAATGTAATTTTAAGTGATTTACTTTTGAAGGTGAACGTAATTATTGGCAGAGAATATTTTAATAAGTGCAAACAACAGCTGGGCTGCTGAGTGGTAAGGACCAAAGGAGCAGGGAGCACACAGTTCCTGTGGGGACCGAGGGATGTTCAGAGAAGGCGTCTCCTGGGACCAATCTACCTTTCTGCATGTGGTAAACTTTGGGGAAAAGATTCAGCACCCCTGGGCTATCTTTCTACTCTTTCTGGAAGGTGGAGCCTGTTTACCCAGATAATAGAAAATGAGTCCAAAATTAAACACCCTAACCTCAATTCACACTCCCAAGTCACATAAAGAAAGATGACAGCGAGGAAAACGACCAATAAAAGCCGTCCATGACCTCAGAAATTACATTTCCCCACAGACTACAAAACGTTCTCATGCAGCAGCAAAGCAAATTCGAGGAACACGTAACACATATGTTGATGTATATTTCACTTTATACTTTACTATTTGAAAGAAATATTGTTTCTCCAATAGTAAACAAGCGTGAAAGCATGTCCTGTCTATTTGTTATTCACTTAATGTGTATCTGTTTTTTTGAGTGATTATCATGTACCTGATATTATTGAGGAGAGAAAATTTGGGAGTTGGAGGTATGTTTAATTTCAAAAAACATTTCGCAAACAAATACTACAAAGACTTACTGCCCATTTTGATAGGCAGAATCTATTCTTGTCATTTCATCTTTCTTTACATTCAGTCGTTCTGAGTGATCGTTACCTTTCTAGTATATGTGCTGCCAAAGTGAGCTTCATCCTTACCTTTCTAAAGCATAGGTTGTATGTCTCGTTTAAGAAATGACTCACAGCATTACATTAAAGGAGAGTTTGACGACTTCTCCTTGTGTGTGGATTGTCTGGCTAGTTCTTGGCTACCTTCTGGCCATTTCCCTCAACTATGAGGACAGAGGCAGTGGGACAATGAAAAGCAAAAGGGACACCACACTTACTGGAGGCTTTAGTTGAGTGTAGAAGATTGGCTGTGGGAAGCCACCGTCACATTTGAATTACCCTCGATGGCGATTTTATTAAAACAAATGCAAAGCTATCAGTCAACGTATCTCATGCTAATGCATTTGGTATACCAGGTAAATATTCTATAATCTTTAGACTTTGAAGATGCTGCCAGGAAAAACCAGAAATGGTTTCACAGTTGGGGATGTAGCTCAGTGGCTGAGTGCTTGCCTAGCATAGAGAGGCCTGGAGTTCCGTCCCCAGGACCACAAACCAAACCAGACCAAATGAAAACTGACTTCAGTGCATCGTACTGGGTGTTTAGGTTTTCACTGTAAAACTTAAAAAATGGTTATGAGTAGCTGGCACTTATTACCTACTGTATCAGACCCTCACAGTATCCTGGCTAAGACGCCATCTGCGGGACCCCAGGGGTAGGACACCAGGTTCCCCTTCTCCCGCCCAGGCTGCTGGGGAAATACAGAGACTGCCGAGGTACAGCCCAGTTCCATATGCCTTCAGGTATCTTTGTGAACCATCTATTACTTTATTTTACATAGTAAATAATATAATAATAATTCGTGAAAGGCTTCCTGGACTGCCTCCTTGTTCTAACACTAATATTTCTTCTGATTCTTTTTATATAATATACTTTTCTTGGTTTTAGCTGTCCAAGTTCTGTTGCGTAGATGTCACACAGGTTGCCTCTTGTGGAGGGGGTGTTTGTGCAGTCAGGAACCTGCCCTGCCGTGGCCCATTTCTAGCACAGCCTTTCAGCGCAGCCAGTGTCAGACTCAGCACCCCAGCAGCCCCTGAGGAGTGGGGTGTAACAGCTCCAGGGGCACAGGAAGGCCCTGCTGACTGCACATTTTTGATTCACCATATTTACAAGAGCTTTGTTAGTGAGGAGCTTGCATTTTTAAAAAAGTGACCTCAAAGAAAGAACCAAGTTGCACTGTGAGCCTATGAGATAATGAATGTGACAACATCACAGATGCTGAGGGTGGCCCAGGATGCCATGTTGGTCTGTCTTCCTTTGTGTCTCACATGGATTTTACCAGTAGACTCCCATGATTCCCAGTAGACTCTCATGATTCCCAGTAGACTCCCATGATTCTCAGTAGACTACCACGATTACTAGGCTCCTCTGTGTTCACTCAAGGTCTCCTATGCAACAAAAGGTTCCTAACTGCCTAATAAACAAATGCTCCAACACTGATGCCACTACAGCTGCTTTCTCCCTGCTACTGTGCCATCCACACAGCTGTGGTCTGCAGTGCCTGTGTTGGGCTGCTTTTCCCTTTGCCTCCTCTCTGGGCTGAGGGTGCAGAAAGCCTTCACTCCTGGCCGTTCAGCTTCCTGTGTTGAAGGCCTCTAAGTCCTGTAGGGCCAGGAATCAGTGGCTTTATGGTAGAGCTGTGGGTAAACTGTAAAGCAGACAGATAACCTGAAAACTCCAAATACCTTTCCATGAATTCAAAGACCCCTCAGCCCATAATTCAGCTTCTCCAATGGCACACCATAGTCACTGACAACCAAATGGCACTGTGAAGAGAGTTCTACTTGCATGAAAATGAGTATTGCCTGCTGCAATCTAGCGAGGCAGAGAAAGACAAGGTCCCTGCATAGATCTGACGGTTATCACACAGGTGCCTAAACACACAGGGGCTTTTTCCTTCCCTGTAGCAGTGCTGTGGGCGCAGTCTTCATCCCCAGATTCCTCCTTTTGTCTGCTCTGTCATCTTGAGCTTGGGATGCCTTCTGGCAAGGTCGCTTCATAGTCTAAGACAGTTTCCAGAGACTGGCCTTGAAGCCCAAGTCCACCACTGTGGGCAGGAGGAGCCCAGAGAAGGGTGGTGCTCGCACCCAGTTCTGCATCCCAGTGGAGGAACTTTCTCCACCCAGCTCCACCTCCTTCACTGACCGACCCTACCTGCAGGGGGAGCCAGAGAAGCTGCCTCTCGCAAATCCACAGCAGCCACTAGAATCAGGAGGTGGCACAAGACGGCTCTTGGGTCGTTGGCTTCCCTGGTTTACACCACCTGGGGCACACTGCTTCTGGAAGCCTCCAACTTGGTCCACAGCAAGCCCTGCTCCCCTGGGCTCTTCTAGTTACACCACCCTGCCCACCCTGCCCATAGCCAGCATTATTCTTGCCCCTCTCGTGCTTTACAGTTTTCCTTCCAGACCTCTGCCGAGGAGCATTTCTGGACCTTGAAGGATGGCCTTCCACAGCATGACTTCAATTCTGGGGAAACCAAAACAAAGCCCTTCTTCTGTGGACTTGGCTTTTGGTCATTGTTGCCTGAAGCTTTTCTGATTGCTGAATTTATATTAGAACCATGAAATTGTATACTGTCCGTAGAGGCTGGCAAAAACAAATTTGAAAGTCATTTATTATTTTTTAAGTTTTTTCTCCTATACGGCTTGCTACATGCAGCTACTTAGAATAAGGAAGATGGGATCTGAACTATTTGATTTTTTGCATAACAAAATACTTTAGGCACCTTACTCCCCTTATTTTTAGAATCAACAATGAGAAGAAGCTTTTGCAGGCGAGAAGGGAGCTACTCAGTGAGGGGCCCCGGTTCCCGCCCAGGAGGGGCACAGTCAGGGGCACCGCTCTAGCGGCGGAGCGCGTGTCCAAAACTTCGCGCAGCGGCTTCGCTTCTTCACCGACTGCTGGTGTTGTGCTCACAGCCATGCAGACCTATTTGAGGGGAAACCGCAGCGAGGCAGCAGGGGGACAGTTTGTGACTGTACCACGTGACCGCGAGCACCGGATGGGTGTTCAATCAGGGGTCACGGGAAGGAAAGAGGAACAGTTGGGTAACGATGGAAAATGAGTTACAGAGGAAAGTCGCTCAGAAAGAATTCAAGTGGGAAATGATTTCCTCTGTCAAAAAGCCGAAGAAACAGCTTGGTGTGGTGGGGCGCACCTATCATCCCAGCCCTCTGGGAGGCTGAAGCAGGAAGATTGTGAGTACAAGCCCGGACTGGGCAACTTAGCAAGGCCCTATTTCAAAATAGAGATTGAAGAAGGGTTGGGGATGCAGCCAAGGTGAAGGCCTTGGGTTTAATCTCCAGTATAAAAATGAAAGAAAGGAAGAAAGAAGGCAGGCAGAAACAAACAAACAAACAAATAAATAAATAAACGAAGGAAGGGAGGAAGTGGTTTATAAGCCACCTCCTTCTGTATCCAGTGCACACCCCGTCAGCAGGACTACAGCACACTTGAATGTGCTGCAGGTCCAACAGGCACCGTGGGTGGTGCTGACCCCATGGAGGCTCAGTGAGGCTGGCAGGGCTGTGAGAGGAAGGTGAGCAGAGTTGCTCCGTGCTCTGCTGGACCTCAGCTGTAGGATTTGCTGGACACAGGTAAGTGACTATTACCCTTGAGCTAGTGGGAGCCCAGTAGGGATGTGAGATCTGGCTTTGATGATGTAAAATCATGCGTGAGGCGTGGATTGCAAGGCGGAGGCTGGTACTGATGGTCTTCCAGGAAAGCAGGACTGAGTTAGAGCAGGAGGATTGGAGAGCCGGGGCACATCCCTGGGAAGGAGCCAGGAAGGATGCTCCAGGCGCCTGAGCGAGAAAGGCTGGTTCTGAGCAACTTCATCAGGCAGTGGAAGTCACACCCGGACAGTGTCCCCAAGCAAGAATTTCTCTGTCTCCAATTCTCTCTCTTCCTTCTTCAGCACTGAGCTTGATGGGGCAGAATCCAAGGTCAGCCATGGGGAGCTCAAGTCTCCCCTTGAACAAAGCCTGTAGGATTAACTGATGTAATGGAACAGGCACCTTCAAAAATCAACCTGAGAGTGCTGGTGGGGTTTTATATCCCCTGTGCTCTATGTCAGGTCATCCTAACACCACCCCATACTTCATCCAGGCATAAGAGAAGGCCTGTCCAGCGCCTGTCCTCTAAGCAGGTGTAACCGACAGAGAGGATTAAAATCAAAGCTGTTTTGACTTGCCTTCTGAGAAGTGCAGGTTCCTTTATGCACTCTGAAAGTCAGTACTCACAGAAACCCTGGGAAACTGGTTCCATTCCAGTACCAGGCCAGGCTGTCACTGGGCAGAGTGAGTCTTGAGTCCTCCCACCCACTCTGCTGACCACACACAGCAGTGGCACAGGGCACGAGACCTCTTCCTCTCGAGTCCCCTTCAGTGCTGCTGCAGAGAGAGCTCTATGAGGGCAGGGATGGAGCTGAGGGAACTTCTGTCTTGCAGGGCAGAGCTGGTCCTGAGGGGAGACCATGGTGCAGGAAGTGGGATGACACAATCCTAATCTGTAGGA